GAAAAGTGAGTGAATGATGATGTTTATGGGCCAATTAAGGTATTTTGTACCATGCCCAAGATTATAGAAGAGGTAAACAACCCGCAATCTTAGTAACATTATATTTTATTGCACGACAAAGCTCATGATAAATAGATCCTAGAACAGCAGACCCTCCCAACTCTAATTTGTAGTCCTAACAAAATCAATAAGAGGAGGGAGTCACTTCATATGAACCCTAAATCCAGATTTATCTAGGAATAATACTCTACCTAATAGAATAATTATGTACGCTCTGGGGTAACATAATAGTCTGTTTATCAATATTATGGGGTAATGCTCCAAATGTATCTGTGAACTAATGTAGATTTACAGAGAATCCTTTTATGTTTGTCTCATCTGGAATTGCTCCAAATAAATCTCTATACAATGCCCATATATCTCAATCATAAAATTTCTCCAACACTCTAATGCATCCACTCACAGGCCTAGTTGACATATAACATCCTCCAAAGTTATCGTACATTCTCCATATGGAAAATAGAATGTATGTGACCTAGGCTTCAAACGCTCCACAAGTGTACTAATGAGTGTCCTATCATAATCAAATATAAGCACTATCTGCGCAACATGCCAAAAATCAGTTTGCCTAAGAAATGGTTCCATCTTCAGATTTGGAGCGACCATCATATTATATAGTATTTACTTTGTAAAATTTGAACTTCTTATAAGATAACAAAAAATTTATATATTAGGTATTGTTCATCAAAACTAAAAGAAAATACAAAAATGTTGTTTACTATTTTGTTCATATACAACATGATATCAGATATAAATATATTACAACAAAATCATATTAAAATTAACTACCTCATAAAATAAATTTAACAAATAGTATAATTTAATTAATATTATCTTAATATATAACGTCTATTAAAATAAATAAATAAATTATTACAATACGAATCAACAGTTAAAACTTTTTAAATATATTTAACGCCCACTGAATATAAATTTATTTTAATTCACCAAGTTATAATTTAAATGTTTATTTGCTTAAAGCTATAATTATTTAATTTATTTTAACAAATAGTAAAAATTCTAATAAAAAATATACTAGGAGTTTTTTTAACTAACAATTGATTAAATATGTAATAAACATTATGTGTTATAAATGCAATATACAACATATAAAATATTACCATAAAAAATAAATATATAACAGATAAACAATTAAACATACAATAATTAAATTAATTTTTACAATTCTTTTTAATTAGACACTAAAAAGATTAATGGAAAATTAAATTAAAAAATTAAATATAAAATTAAATAATATTTTTCAATATTTACCTGGACTGACAATTTATTTGCAATATGATCAATAAAATTAAGTTAGTTAAGATCATTATTCATCTTCATTGAAGCAACACTAGACTTCTTTCTCTTCTTTTCTCTTTGAGGATTATTTTGAAAGGGGCTTCTTCTTCCTTCCTTCCTGGTTAGCCATGGCAGCGGAGGCCTTCCAAAGTCGATTCAAGTCGACTCCTACCCTTCCACTAAAGTTGATTTAAGTCGGCTTTCTTTGTAAACTAAAGTTGATTGAAATCGATTCAAATTTACTTCCATAGGAACATATTGTAGCATCAAGTTCAGCCGATTAAAATTGACTTCTACACAATAATCAAAGTTGATTTAAATCAACTTTTGTAAGAGCAACTTCTGACGTAGTGTAGTCTATTCAAACTATATTTTATTTTTAAAAAAATCTACTTAAATTGCCAACTAAACATGATATTTATGTAATTTTTTTAATATAAGATATTTTTTTAATTTTCTTTTACTTTTATTTTATTCTTGTAAAAAAGTTAAAAAAGAACTAACTCCCCATAACCCTTAAAAAAAAATTATAGGTGAGCCCATAAAAAGAGAGGAAGAAGTCCCTCGCGCTGCAGCTTTGAGGCAGTTGCTAAAGTTTTACTGTATCATATCATTACAGGAAAAGTAGAAAAACTCTATTCCTAAATGAAACGAGATGCTAAAAGAAAAAATTTACAAATTCTTTTATAACATTTTATTAATTCATACATGTTTCATGCTCTAATCTGTTTCTATTTATTTTATTAATGATTTAAAATAAATCTTATTTTTTATATTGTTGTGTATTTAAATTTTTTAACTCGCACACATAAAAGTATTCTTTTATTTAAAAAATAACTACTCTACTCATTAATTAAGAAAATTGAGTGTATATTTGACATATTATATTAAAAAAATCACTTAATTTTATTAGACATTTTTTAAATATAATTTTCTGAAAATATAACAAACTCCAGCCATGCACTAATCATTTATTAGTCATTATTTTGATATTGCTAAGCAATTAACGAATCAGTGATTTGTTTCTAAATTAATTTTTTTTTAATTTAAAACTTCAGTATTGGAATATTATTTTTCAATCTCTAAACTCATGTAGCATATAGATAGCTTACTGCAATTAATCGTGTAATTAATTTTAAGTGTCCCTTTAACTTTTTTTTTTTTAACATTTACACTACGCAAATAATTATATTTTATAATTTAAATAAAAATAAGTATTTTAAACCTAATTTAAAATATCATTTTCAATGTAAAAAAATAAAATTTGAATTCTTCTATGTACATAAATAGACAATAATGCATTATATTCAATAAAAGGACATTGACAGAATGCTGGATCCTGCATATGATCCATTATAAATTAAACAGTTAGCAGCTATGCTATGGCTATGTCATCGATTGCATTCATTGAATTTAAGAGGAGTCTATTCCGAATCAGATCTCCCTTTACCTGTTTTGAACTTTTGGAGGGACTCTGTATGTCTGGTGGTGACACACGACAAAGAATCTGACAAATATAAAAGGTCATCAAAATGAAAATTTGTTAACATCAATTCTTACTCCTTAAAAATAGCATTTTTACTAAAAAAAAATTTCATAATAAATTATATATAAAATTGAGATATTGTAGAACGAAATTTTAAGGTTAAAAACTTAGTCTGAATAATTTAAATTGAAAAAAAAAAATAATTAAAAATAAAATAATTTAAATCATGTATAAATTAAAATATAAACACTAAAATTAAATTAAGCTCAAATAAAATATTGATACTATTCAAAAAAATTATAAAAGTACCGACGAAAAATAATTATAATTTTCACCTGATAGTGCTTGAATAATTTACGGTAATTACTAAGTATGTGAATTAGTCCGTAAACAACTGATTAATAATAAAAATAAATATGTTTTATAATTTTTTTGAGCAAATTACAATTTTGTTCTTGAAAGGCGTTTTAATTATCTTTTTCTCTTATTTTAAAATTAAAATGTAAATTATTTTTTTCTTTTAAGTAAATAAACATTTTAATTTTTCACTGGTTAGTTATTTTTAATATAGTTAATAGATTTGTTTAATATTGTTGCCAATTCTATCACTATAAGATGAAATAAAAATTCAAGAAAAATCAAAGTCAACATTGAGACACTTTAAATTAACTGGCTGTGATACTAAAATTAAAGAAAGGATAAAATATTATTGAGAGATACTTTTATAATTATTTACCATTATGATGAGATATGTTTATATTGAAAGATTAAAGTATAACATAATTTTTTCATGGAATGAGAATGTATATTTTAAAATAAAGGAAAAGAAGAGTGTTATTCAAACAATTTTTTTAGCAAAATTATAAATTTAATCTCTATTAAATAAAATTAGTCTAAGTTTATTAATATGAAACTAAGTTAAAATTCACAACTTGTAGGTAAATACTTAAAGCTAAGTAGCTAACTGATTGAATCTAACTATTTAGTTATCTAAAATATGTAAAATAATTTATAAAGTTATACACTATTGTGTTAATATAATATTTAGAATAAATATAATTTAGTTTATTTATTTATTATCATCCAATTAAATAAATAGAAGGCGGTGGTGATCCGTAATGTGATGAAAGTGAGTGGAGTGTTTTTTTTCTTTTTTTTTTTAGAGTTTTGCTATATTTTAGTTTTTAAATATAAATTTTAAAATAAAATATGTTTAATTAAAAAAATTAAGATAATTTTTAACTTAATTTTAAAATAATTTTACCTCAATTTTTAAAATAAAAAAGTAATCTTAATTTTTTTTGTACTTCTTTAAAAATATATATAATAATTAATTCTATAATTAATAGTTATCATTATCATCATTAATTAATTGTCATCTTAATAGTCATATTAATAATCAATGTTACAACCATTATTATTACTGTTATTGTATGCATTTTATCTGCTGCCATAATTTTCACTATAATTATTATTATTGTTATTTTTACAATTTATTATGTCATTTTTATAATTACTAAACATATTATAATTAAAATGTAAAAGTGACGTAAATAATTTAAATTTAATGTGAAAATTAAAAATTTATAGAAAATTTTAAATTTAATTTTTATTTTTAAAAATTTTAAAACTTCAAACTAATAACCACTCCAAATAAGACTCTGATTGGAATGATTTATAAATATAAAAGGTAAGAAGAACTAAAATTATTCTTGAAATAAGGTTATAATTATCATATGAGTATAACTTAATTAAAAAAGTTATCGATAACTATTTTTCAAAAACTAAACTCTACTTCATATAGTTTTAAAAAAATTACAGTTTTTTTTTTTATTGTATAGTTCTACTAATTTATTCTAGAAATCAATAAACTCCAGACTTCTATACAAATAAATGATACCTTAGTTTGTAAACAAAAGAATGACACCTTAACAGAAAAGGGGTGACAAAATAACTAATTATTTTGGTAGACATAAAACATAACTAATTTAAAGTAAAATAATTAAAATAAAAAAATTCCAATTTTCTTTTGTTTTTGTGCAGACAGGGGAAAAAAGAAAAGGCGGGATTAGCGACACGTGTCGAGGTTAACCGTAGAAGTTTTGTCGAGGCACGATAACAAAGGAGTTTGAAATTGAAAAGCGGGATTAGGGTTTTGCAGTATCTGAACTTCACTTCTTCTTCTTCTTTTTCTTCTTCTTCTTCATCATCCTCTTTCTTTCTCAATCCTTCTTTTTCCTTACCAAAATGGTGAACCCAAGATGTTTCCTAGACGTAAGCATTGGCGGTGAACTAGAAGGCCGAATCGTCATTGAGCTCTTCAACGACGTCGTTCCAAAAACCGCCGAAAATTTCAGAGCCCTCTGCACCGGCGAAAAGGGCATCGGTCCCAACACCGGCGTCCCCCTCCACTACAAGGGGATGCGTTTTCATCGCGTCATCAAAGGATTCATGATCCAAGGCGGTGACATCTCCGCCGGCGACGGAACCGGAGGGGAATCCATCTACGGTTCCAAGTTCGAGGACGAGAACTTCGACCTCAAGCACGAGCGCAAAGGCACGCTTTCCATGGCCAATGCGGGTCCCAACACCAACGGTTCTCAGTTCTTCATCACCACCACGCGCACCCCTAACTTGGACGGAAAACACGTCGTTTTCGGGAGAGTAGCCAAAGGCATGGGCGTCGTTCGTTCTGTCGAGCACATCGTCACTGGCGACGATGACCGTCCCACGCAAGACGCCGTCGTCGTGGATTGCGGGGAAATTCCCGAAGGCGAAGACGACGGCGTCATTAACTTCTTCAAAGACGGTGATACTTTTCCTGATTGGCCCGCTGATCTTGATGTCAAACCTGATGAAATTTCTTGGTGGATGAGTGCAGTCGACACTATCAAAAGCCTTGGCAATGAACAGTACAAGGTGAAGTCGTTTTTCTTCTCTTTTCTTATTTGTGATGGTTTTTATAATAATTCGATTTTTAGGTATATGCTAAGTTTTCATAAAATCAAATATTACAAGATTTAATGTATTAATAAATTAAATGATACAATTTTTAATTAAAAAATTACTATTTATAGTTTCATATTATGTACTCTATGTCACATGTTAGAAAATTCATTTATAACAAATAATAACTAGATAAAGCATGGTGTTTAACTATTGTTTTGTCATTTCTTGCAAAACAGAAGCAAGATTATAAGATGGCTCTCAGAAAGTATCGCAAAGCCTTGCGATATTTGGATTTGTGTTGGGAGAAGGATGACATTGACCAAGGTCCACCTCTCTAGTTTCTTGCTCTATAGTTGAACTCTTTTTGTCTTATTTGTTGTCCTTTAGTGTCTTATATAATGCTTCGTTTGTTTCTTTCTGACTTGGCAGAGAAGAGTGCTGCTTTACGGAAGACGAAATCTCAAATCTTCACCAACAGTTCTGTAAGTGTCTTGCAATTATACTTCTGCCACCAATTATTGACATCAAGTATCATTATTTATTGTCATGGGCCATCTCTGCTCAAAGCTTTGGTTATTTAGGTAGAGGTTTGGATGTCATTTTTTGGATTCGGACTCCAAGTCCAATAAGTCATCCACTTCTAAATCATCAGCACTAGATGAACTTTTATTATCCATAATTCATTCATCATCAAAATGAAAGATCATCAAGATTAGATTCCATAGCTTTCTTGGCCAATTTTGTGTTAGCCATCACATAAACATCATCATCATTCATAGTTTGTTGTTTCAGGTTCTGTCTTTGTAAACTTACAAATTATATAAATGCAATTAATTAATTGCAAGTGCAATATGTAAAGAATGAAATACAACTTCTCATAGTTTTAAATTTTACAAACTCAAAAGCATTCCAATTACACTCACATCCAGAGGAGTTACATGTTAAGCTCCATATACGAATAGAAAATCTTTGAAACTATGGATGTTCATCTCCATAAGATTCCCACTATTGTGTTGGAGTTTTGATATTAGTTTTAACTGCATTTAGGGCTGCTTTGTTGCCAAAAAACTTATTCTTTACCTTAATATCTTCAAGTTGAGCATCAATCTTAGTCTTTTCTTCATCATTTTCTACTATCCTTTCTATACAGTTATATAATCCATGTTTAACGTCAAAATCAGCTTTAAAATCAAGACTTAAGTGTAAAATAGGGTTGAGGTAATAGGCAACAATATGCAATGGCCTATGGAGTTGGTTGTCTCACTCTCATTTTTCATTAATGGCATTCCATAGAGGGGGATAATAGATGAAAAAAAATAAATTTTCAAACAAAGGTAATCAATCAAAATTTTAAATTCAACATAATAATTTATTTACCCTCTTTACTATCATTGAAGACCTTTGCTATCTTTTCGTTAGTTCAGTTCATTTTCTCATAAATTAACTCCATAGCTGGTATTGCATTCAAATAAACCAAACATAGAACTTTGATTAGATGATATGCACCCTTTAAGCAAACAACAGTGGCTTTACAAATTTTTTTACCATAATCACATCATCAATAAACTTCCCAAATGTTGATTTAGCAAACTGACTAGTCTTCCATTGATTAGATGTGAACATTCATAACCAATGCTCTCTTATGCTCTTGAAGGCATTCCTAAGTAAGGTAAGACGTGGCAAAGTGAGTAATGCCTGGTCTCACCAAATCTCTTTCTTTTGTGAAGTATTGCAATAAAGAAATTAAGGAAGTCATTGATTAAATATTAGTAGTAATTTTTTCTCCTTTGAGATTGTCTCTTGATGAATGTGTCTTCTTCAAATCCTCCAATATCAAATCTATGCAGTGAGGGACACATGTTATCCAATACAATTTCTTCCTTTTCTCTATCAACAATTCACTTGCAACTTTGTAATTTATTGCATTGTCTGTCATAATTTAGACCACATTATCTTCACCAACTTCCTTCATCATCTTAAACAACTTGTCAATTGTTTTAAATATATGAGATGCACCAATTGAAGTAAAAAAAATTGTACAGGGATGTTCACTAAAATTGTGCAAACCCACCAAAACAAGCACAACCTAGGATCAGGATTGCTTCACCGACAATTGATTGTAAGAAATTTGACTGCCATGATTTTTTCTATAGTAGCTACCCACCTTGGGAATAGTTATTTCCCTAATTGTATGTGGCTTTTTACAACTTGCAGAGAGAGAAGAAAAGTAATGTCCTATTTCTAGATGGTATTATTTTTGTGAAAAAAATATGATTTTCTCTTTGTTTTGTTAAACTTGTAAAATTGGGGGTAAATTGACAAGTTTACCTAAGTTCATCCGAGTTTACATAAAAACGAGTTTACATGCGATTTGACATGATTTCTATGGATATGATCATGAAACTGCATTTAAGTTATTCCCCTGTTATGACATGAAAATTTTATCAGTACTCTTTGTCTTGGAGTACATGCTCCTTCCTTTAAAATAGCAATAGCCACCTTTGTTCATAGTAGTACTGGAAATTTACTCCTATGACTGGGTCTGCCAGAATCAACATGAAAGGCTTTCAATTTTATTTTTTTTTCATGGCTGTTATAACTTTTGTCATATTCTTATATCCTGCAGTGATCTTATTTTTTTCAATCAGTTGACTTAAACTAATAACTTGAATCCTGTTTGAATTTTTAGGCTTGTAAATTGAAATTGGGTGACCTAAAAGGAGCGTTGCTGGATTCAGACTTTGCAATGCATGATGGAGATAATGCGAAAGCTCTATTTCGCAAAGGCCAGGTTGACATCTTCCAATGAAGAAAATAGGATGATGATGACAGAGCTTCACACTGGCTAGTAAATTGTGTGCTCTATGAGTCATTTTAATCCTTCATTGTGCTTTTGAATTTAATATATAGCTTCCTATAATTTTATTGTGTAATATTCTAATTTTTGTTAAACCTATGCCAAAGTTTTGGGACCGTGTTCACGTCCTTGTTTTGTCTTATGTGAATTGTTAATTACCAACTCCATATGGGATACATCATTCTTGTACTTTGCAAGCTGAACCGTTTTTGTGTATTATATTTGGTAATCTGGTAATTTTTTATTTATGTTTGGTCTGCTTAATCTCAGGCATATATGGCACTCAATGACCTAGATGCTGCTGTTGAAAGTTTTAAGAAAGCATTAGAGTTGGAGCCAAATGATGGTAGGTGGCTATTTAAATACTTTGAACTCTTATTTCATTCCTGGCTTGTGTTGATGTCATGGATGCTTTTTAGAATTTGTTTTCCTTGAAGGAAAATGTTAATATCATCTCTAGGGGCTGATTTTAAGTATCCAAAAGTTGTAAGGTTTTATTGGAAAATTAAGTATTCATTATATCAGAAATACAAAAGTGTATTACATATTTTATTTTCCAATAAAATCTTATCACTTTTGGATGATAAGATTTTAGCAAAATTGTTTCTTAAATAATGGCTTCCTTTATCTTCATGTGGGAAGGTGTTGTTGACTACTGAGGAGTGAACTTCCTGGGAAGTTGTGAGGACAGAGGAGATTTTCTCATTTAGGACCATAGTTTTGTCTTACTAGGGTTGTGGACTTGTTGTCTGTTCATATGGTAAGTCACTGGAAATGAGTGTAGTGTATATTCTAGCTAATAAATTAATCTTTCCACTTTCATTATGTTTGCCATTAATCCTATTTCAGTTTTCAGTGATATAAAATCATCCTGTTTGGGCATCTGAAGCACGTGATTTCTGCAATCACTCTGAATTCTGAAATTTCTTGAAAGGAAACTAATTATATCTTATGGGTGTGAATGAAATAAATGTTCGTTTTTGAAAAAATCTTATCTTACAGGTGTATTACAATATGAAATAGATGTGACTATATTGAGATCCTACTAGTCATTAGACCATGACTCTTGGATATTTAAATTTTACTGGTGTTGCGAAGTTTAACTCATGGCATTTTTAATAAAGCTTAACTCACACCTTGCTCTGTTCCATAGGAGGTATTAAAAAAGAGTATGCCACTGCCAGGAGGAAGGTCAGTTATTTCACCTTTTGTTTTCTTCTATCATTTTACATGCCATTTCTTTCATTTTGACAAAATAAAGTTATTCTGCTTGCTGATTTTGGATACAGGTTGCTGATAGACGCGATCAAGAGAAAAAAGCTTATTCTAAAATGTTCAAATAGAGTTCTTGCAGTAATGATTCGTGGCTGCATGGTCTGAAAATCAGATATTATGGGGTTCAAGCGACTCATGCCAATTACATAGTCAACAGTTACTACTTTTTGTTTGCTGGTTGTTTATGAAAACATCAGATATAGTGTATCTTCCTGAATTTATGCTTTCCAGATTGTGAAGTTGTGATAGAGCATCATCATACTTTTATCTTCTGTCAAACTCTGGTCATCAACCACTAGTGATTTTTTATAAAAGAGATAGGCAGATCGAGACATATCTCAGAATGAGGCTTCCAACATGGTTGACCCAAATTTCTTTGCTTTTATCCTCCGATGGTATTTAGTCTAATCAGAACGGTTTCTGACTGCAAGTTAATCTGAAGACAAAAAATCAGTAAAACTGAACTTTTGTTGATTTGAATTTAAGTGATATTGGTTTTATTAAAATTTAAACATGGCATCTTGCAGTCTGCAGCTTGGCTGTTGCTATATGATTCATTTAAGTATGTGTGGAGTCATCCACCAGATTTCCTTGACTTCCATAAAAGACAGTTCATTTTATACAAAATGGATGACTTTTTCTTTGTTGTTTTCGCATTGCTTCCTGATCTTCTGGACTGGCGTAGTTTTCCCCCTTTGGATTTAGTTAATGATACTTCGGCAGCAGACTTGGGTGTAGCTCTTGTTATTTTAGTTATGACTCCCACTTCAACAATTTCGTCTTGGCTTTTTGCATTCTTCTGTGTGTACTGGTGGCCTATTGTGTCTCTTCTGTTCAATCTTGATAATGCTAAGTCACGGCTAGCCCTGGCTGCAAGCTTTTGGTCTGTGGAAACAGAAACATGCCAATTTGCCTGGGAAATCTTTTCTTTTCCTCCTCTTGTTAGGGCGTTGTAGTTTTCACGAGTAAGCTGGACAACATCTCTGTGATTTTCCGAATGCTTGATCTGTAGAAGAGCCTTGGCGGAAGATTCTTCCGCAGCATCCGACTCCAGTAGTACAGCTCGAAGAGAGAGCTGCAAGGTTTGAATTGTCTGCTTTCTTAGTTGCAGGGTTTGCCTAAGTTTTGCCAGTGTGTGCTTTTCCTTTTTACTCTCTAATTTGAGCCTTTCCATGTCGTTGCGTGCTTGATCCAAAGCATGATTGATTTCGTGAATCATCAATTCTGTCTTGAGTTGTTCCTCTCGCTTGAACTTGATGCTCTTGTGGATGATCTCTAGCTGGGATTCCATCTCTGCGATGGCAGTTTTTGTTGTATTTGAACTTTGTTGAGCATCAGCAAGATTGGATTTCTGCTTTTCAAGTTCATCTATGAGAGGCTTAGAGTCGAGCCAGGATTGCATGGCACTCTCTTTGGCTCTACTCAGCTCTTGTTTTGCATTGGCTAGTTCTGCTTTTGCGGCCTCCAGTATAATTCTGTGGTTGTCTTCCTCTTCTCGTTCTTTGTACATTACTCTCTCCGCTGTTTCCTCGTTTGACTCCATGGAGTCTTGGATAGACATTTTGTTCAAATCATGAATTGGGTCCGTTTAAGTTGGTGCCTCCTGGGTAATGATCCTTTATGGAGTGTGTTGTCAGTAGTTAAAATATAAATTGCGACTGTTCTGTTGAAATCAAACTGTCATTTGAGATTTCCTAAGACAATGTCGATAAGTTGCATGCTCACGGGAGATACCTATGAAGCATGTTGTTTATAACGGTTCCCTTTGTCTTGTATGTTTTGTATTGTAGAGTATTTTAGCATAATTCAAATATATTGCAGTCACGTTACGCAAAAGTTATTATTGGATAAATATGCGTTCTATATTATTTTGGTAAAGATTCCAACAAGGTTGACTTTGCATTGGCCTCAAAGTACTTGTATACTAATTATTAGCGCAGATTCTCTTTTTTTCCTATAAATATTATAACTGTTAACTAGTTAATAGGTTGCGTATTTTATGGTTATTATATTTTAAAATGTTTTATTTTGTCATGAACAATTAGAAAATCACTTATTTTATGAAAAATTGCATATAAAGAATTACGTAAATGTTGCTTTATTGTAATTTTAAGAATTTATAAATTATCTATAATATATACATTTAAGACTTTTTATTTGTGAATTTTGTGTATTATATAAATATTATTAAATAAAAAATAATTATGTCTTTTCAAATATAATAAGTTTTAAAAGAACGAATACTAAATTTATAAATCGTTTTTTTAAGAATTTAGAAAAAAAATATAAAAATTGTAAAGTGATTTTATAAAAGAACTTTGTTGCACGATATAGGATTTTAAGCATTAATGTTCATTTTAAAATTAGTAAACAAAGAATTTGACAAGTTATCGTTTCAAGAGTAATAGTTACTTAAAGGTAAGAAATAATTAAAGTTTCAGAAGTATTTAGAAGGAGAGGTTAGTTGTTATGCACAAAGTATTTTTATCATTTGAAAAAAAATGACTACAAAGGTCAAAGAACTTGTCAAGGCAATTCTAGGTGAATTTAGAGGCCTTGAACCAAAAGATAAAGAATCATGGTGGTGGAATGAAAGTGTGCAGGATATTAGAGCTAAAGAAATGTGTTTTAAAAGCTTGCAAGTATACAACAATGTCAAAAATTGGGTGAGGTATCAAAATGTAAGAAATGAGATAAAAAAAAGTAGTGAGTAAACCACGTTTTAAGGCTTTTAAGGGGTTTTTATCAAGATCTTGGGACAAAGTATGATGACAAAAAGATTTATAAGCTTGCCAAAAGTAAAAAAAAATCTAAAGATTTGGATCAAATTAGATATATTAAGGATTAAGAATTTTTTTTGGTTTTAGACTAAGACATCAAAAACAAGTGGGAAAATTATTTCTATACATATGGAGCAAATGGAAATATAGTATGATTAGAAATGTAAGTGAATGATCTAAATTTGACATATTATTGTCAAATTCAAGTTGGAGAAATTAAAAAAAAAAAAACCTCTTAAGAGAATAGATAATGATAAAACAATTGATTTAATAATATATATTAAAGTAAAAAAATTTGAAAAAATAAAAAATTGAATGACTTACTAAGTTCTTTAATAAAATTTTGTTCAAAGCTATTAGGGATGAGTCTATCATTTGATGGAAGCATCATGTGGCTGGACACTTGTAACTTAACATGGATGTATATGTGCATTTTAGTTTTGCTACATGTAGAGGTCTAGTCAAGGATACTCATGGAGAATTTATTGTTGAGTTCACATGTAAACTAGGTTATCCTTCTTCTGTATTGGTTGAATGTTTAATTATATTTTTTATTTCTATAAAAATAGTGTTATTTAAAATTAGTCCTTAAATTTTTTTTTAAGATTTAATTTCTACTATTTTCAAAATTTTTAGAATTTCTTTACCGTCAATTATCTTCTGTTAAGTGATAAGTTAGATAATGAAAATTTAGTTCATTATTATCATATCATTGTCATGTGATATCTATTTTTAATATTTTACTATTCAAGTATTAATATTTGTAAAAAAGTCTCTAAACACTTTTTCTTCTTCCACTGCTATCTTCGTCAATCTCCTTTCTATCTTTAGGTGCCGAAAATTGTTATCCCAACTCACAATATTTGCAAAAATGAGGATTTTCAATTGAAGAAAATGGTAATAGCAACAATAGGGTGGATGATCCAAGGACATCAATGGCATGACTATCGTCTTTTGCTTCACAACACTTTCTTAGGTTCACCACCCTCCTATTTTCCTCAACCTCAAACAACCATGTCCACTAAAATGAAAAATGTGTAAAGAAAGAAACAAGCTCTTGAAAGTTAGTAATGTATGATGTAATAAAGAACACACATTTATCTCAACAGATATGCAGGAGATAGATCTTGGGTTACTTGAAATGAAGTTATTGCTTGTATAAGCTATGGAAGATGAAGACATAGTTCATATAATTAATTTTCAAATTGTTTAAGGAAGTCAATGGATCACTTTAATTCAGAAGGAAACAAATATAGTTTTCTTTTGTGAATCTCTTGAAAGATGATTTGAACAAAAATTGTACTTGTGGGTGTTTAATCCTAACATATATTTAAAAAGTAAAAACACAAATTTAGGTATTTTGTCATAAAAAAATTGTTAATTATTCTATATGTATGGACCGACATAAATTATTTTTGTTATAATTATAATTTCAATTCAGATTAATTGGATATCAAAATATTAAACGAAGGTATATATTTTATTTTCTGATTAATTTTTGTTATGAAACTTATTTGTGATAGTTTTATTATTAAGAAAGAATATGATTTTTTATTATTATTATTATTGGACTAAGCTATAATAATAAGTTTGGTCCATTACTAATTAAGAGGTCCATATTTATTTCCTAGTCAGTTTTAGACACTAGTTTATGATCAATCTCTGTCTAATTCTAACATTTAATCTTAATTATAGTATTTAATTACTATTTATTGCATTGATAATTAATTAAATTAAAAGTTTCTTAAAAAATATCAATAATTTAACATAAATATTTGAAAAAACTTAGTTTTCATTCATCTTTTCTTTACTAAACATTTGTTGATTTGACTAACGTCAACGCTATTTTAAAGCACTAGACAAGGAAAACTTTAATAGAAAAAAAGTTACATTCTTATATTTCTTAAATAATCAATATTTTTTAATAAAAATAATTATACTTATGATTAACCCAGCTTTTATAGTAGAAGTGGCAGGACGAAACTCACTTTAAATATATGAAACCGTTCAGCCAGGAATGGGCCAAATAATATTAGCTACATATTCCAACCAAGTCGGAGAGAACAGAAACACGGAGACTGAAAGGAGCTGAAATCTCAAACGAAACATAACATTCTGATCGAGATCGCCTTGTCCCATCTTCCCTTCTTCTTTGTAACAAGGACACAACTACCATATGAAGAAATAATAATGTTTTATCCAACATTCAATAAAGAAATCATATTCATCCAACTGCTCCAACTTCTAACTAAGCCATTCATTCATTCACCCACGATGTTAGTCGTTATATAGGGTACCGTCAACGCGGAAAATATATAATGAGACATATGCAGAACGCTATTGTAAACGAAACAACGAGGAAATAAAAGTGATGTGATGTGATGTTATAAAAAATCATATAAAAAATAATTGATATTAAAAGAGTGATTATTATAAATTAAGATTGTTAACTTTACATCCCTTATTTTTTTCTCCTCTTGCTCTTCTTCTTTCTCTTTAGCTCGAAATTCTTATACAGTTGCGCTAATCAAAGCACGCATGGCTGAGTCTTGCATCACCCATTCCCTTCCCAGGTTCCTTCTCTTTTTCTTTCCTCAAAATTTCACTTGGGTTTATATATCACTCTACTATGCTTCTCATGCGTGTGCTTGCATCTATAAACGAAACATGGCAATAAAATAATCTATTTATGTCAACATTTTTTTAACGATTGCATGAAGCTAATCTTGGGATGATAATTGCAAACTTTATTTTGCTCTTCCTATTTCTAATTTCATCTTCCTTAGACATCCTCAAACTAATGGCTTAGATGATGCTGGTGTTATAGCTATCCCCGTCCAGATTATGCCGAGATTGTTGTGGTGCGCCATGGTGAAACAGCATGGAATAATGAGGGAAGAATTCAGGTACTTCTTTTCTTCTCTATATTTTTGCTTCATCGTGTGTGTTATATATATATATATAGAAAGATCGGTCGAACCTATCTTTGCATAGTATATTTGAGCGCTACAACAGAACAAAATACATAAATAAAAAACAAACTTAACAATCATAAAATTTTCAAAAACAACGAAGCATCCCTTGCAGCCAATGCATATCCAACCTCCTAGTCTATCATCTTGAACCCAAAAGACTCTGAATCTTGTTATCTTTCTACACAATAAACTTGGGAGTTTATTTGGGGCTTGGAGTTATATTGCATCCCTTGCCACCGATGCATTCCTCATTATTTGGACCAATTTTAGGATTTTGATTTGGGCTCATTTTTATCAGCTTCTAAACATCTGTTGAGAATGACTTTGAAGTACTTTACCGCTTATTTCTTAGAAGTCAAATCATAGCTAATTCTTGACAAAAGGAAAGAAAGAAAGAAAAAACTAGCAAATTAAACGCATCCCAATCACCTTTCCATTCTGAGCTGCTACAACATGCACACAAATCCAATTTGAAGGATTACTATAATATAGCCTACCAACAATAGGTCTAGCATGAATGCTGGAACGGTCTCTATTGCAGAGATGCCTAAAAAGTACTTTATGTTCAAAGATTCAAAAGGTCAACTTCGGCTGTAATCTAATAGCGCATACGTTTTAGCCATGTGATTTCGATCCATAACTAACGTGCACAATCCTTTTTGTAATTTTATTTTAGCCTTTACAGGGATGTTAAATGGATGGCGTGAATAATTTTTAAATTCAATCATAATGAATGGATAAAAAATTAACCGTTAGTTTATTTTGATTCATTAAAAATTTTCAAATAAATAAATAAATAATTCATCTATAACCTTTTTAATGAAAACCTATCAACCATTTTTTATGGACAGATATCTATCCAATTCATCCATTTAAAATCAATTATATTTTATTTTTAAAAATAATTTTATAAAATAAAGTTTAATATTTATACACAATTGATATGATAAAAGAAAGATTAATTTTTATGCTATCGTACGTTTGATATATATTATGATAGTAAAGTAAATAACATTAAATCAATCATCATGTTTAATGTTTGAAATAAACAAAAATAATAATAAAATAAGATGTAAAAATATTTAAATGACAATATTTAATCCTTTATCAAAATTAATATATATTTTTAAAATATTTTTATTACTTGAATTTTCAATATATATATATATATATATATATATATTAAAAATTTAAAAATATTTTTATGTACATATAATATTAAATTTTGATATCAAATATAATATTTTTTCCAATTTTTTACAATTAAAATTTATTTTTTTTGGTAATAAAATATAAGTAAAACAAAAGTAAATTATAAAAATTAAAAATCATATTTCATAAAATGAGTAAAATATTTCCTATATAAAATATTTTTATTTTTATAAAAATTATTAAAATTATATTTTTAAATAATCATTTTTATAAATATTAAAAAGGTATAAAAATTATTAAATATGTAATAAAATAAAGTTTTCTTATCATATATTTTTAACCCATCACCTATTAAGTATAAAATTTTTAATTATGATAATATGATATAATAACTGAATAGGATAAGCTATCCTAACATATTATGTTTTCAACAAATACTAAAGTAAAATAGAATAAAATAAACTATCCTATCACCTCATCTTATCTTAATCGTCAAAAGGGTTCTTAAAATAGAGTTTGGAGCTCATTTTATAAAATTTATGTTCAACTAATAGAGTTTGAATTACTTAGTCAATTGAAAAATGTCGTGGATAGTTCATTATCTATTAAGTAATAAATGGTGATCCAATCTAACTCATCCGTTGATTATTTTATAATTGAATAAATTAGTGAAATTTACGCATGAATGGATCGGGTGGTTAGTAAATAAATGGATTAAATGGCCACCCCTGGACTTGTGCATGCTCAAGATTAAAATATACGCTATAGAAGCTAATGAATTGAGAAAACGGTATATTGTTGGTCATTTACAGCATTCTCCAAACAAGTTACAAAGTTCTGAAGTTTCATAAAAGAAATTTTGTATCACATTTGCGAGTCCGAGGAGTGTAACTTTTGCAACTTCTTTATATAAATCAAGCCAAATATTTTCATCACCAAAAGTTACAGACTTTTTTATTCGTAAGTAACAGGGTCTTTTATGCACTTCTGAAAATACTTCTACAAGTAGTTTACATAGAAACATCAATATTTTGTAACATTTTTGTGGCAAATTTTGCAAGTGACATACCAATATATTGATTTTACGATAAGTAGTGTTGTTGTTTTTAATCCTTTTCATGCATGCCTATGACAAGATGCTTTCAAACTATTTCTCCTTGTCCCTGTACACAAATATGAAATCTATGACTTCATTAACAATTTATTTTCTCATTCATCCTCTCTTATATATGGGATTCCTTTGAGTTATCGTTTCAATTTTCACTAATATATGTAAACAGGGACAAATGGAAGTTGAATTAAATGAAGCTGGAAAACAGCAAGCTGCTGCAGTAAGTTGTGTTAATTGCATTCTCTCTTATACGCGTGTTTATTGCCTTACATTACATCTTTGTCTATGGATGCTTTCATGACTCTTATTCATGTTCATTTTACAATGAAGGTGGCTGATAGACTATCCAGGGAACCTAAGATCTCTGCTATATATTCTTCTGACTTGCAACGTGCTTTTGAAACTGCACAGATAATTGCAATCAAATGTGGAGTGCTAGAGGTTTGAAGATTAGTCGATAATCTTCAATATGTTGCATTTTATTGATTCAGTTGTCATAGTGTTAATAGCCTAATCATGATTAGTTTCCATTTTAACATGTTCAGTGCTTCACGTTATTTGGTTCCTTTTGTTTAATGACATTCCAACACTCTTCTCTTGGAGTGCCTTTCTACCATTGCATGGACTACACTTGGTTATGCATGAAGTAATCTTACTGTTTCTAAGTATTGATGAAATAGACAGTCATGAATTAGTCCTTCTTCTTAGATGGTAACAAAAGAATGTCTTAATTCTTTCTTTAATAGAATATTTAGTGCCATACCCTTTACAAAATTATAAGCATACCCTTTCTTGAGTTTTACCTTCTATCTTCCTTCATGATTGAGTTAAAGTTGAAGTTATGTTTTCAATAATGTGCTTTATTTTAATTCTACTCTCATTTGTTTATTTGATCTAGCTAGCACCACCAATTCTATGTTTTAACGATACTTACCTTTGTTTGAAACTCCAGCTTGTAAAGGATTTTGATCTTCGGGAAAGACACAAGGGGAATCTTGAAGGCCTTTTTTATCGTGAAATAGCTAAGACTAATCCCATGGGTCACAAGGCTTTGATGTCTAAGAATGATGATCAACAACTCCCAGTAAGTACTGTGGAAGCCAAATTGTTAGAATTAAATCCCTCGATAATAAGTAATATCATCATTTGAACAACTCTAATGCTATATGAATCGTTAGATAAGTCTAGCAAATCTTGTTGAGTTTGCATGCTCTAATTATCATACTTGTTTTACGTAGCAACTAAATCATTGTAACTGCGTGCAGAGTGATGGCAAAATTCACTTTATGTATGCTTAATGAATATATAATTATAATACGGAAGCCTTAAATTTTGCATATAACGATAGGGTGGTGGAGAAAGTTATGCGCAACTATTTGAACGCTGCAAATCTGCGTTGCTGAGAATTGGAAGAAAACATAAAGGTAAGGCTAACAGTGAAAGTCCTTCAATATGACACATTGTGAAAATTACGTTTTTGGTGATTAGTTATTGATTTGATTGGAGATCCTCTGGTGCATGTTTGGTTTAAAGTTGAGCAAAATTGATTTTAAAGAAATTGATTTTGATTCATTGATAAATTAATCTAAACCAAATTTTTATTGATATATTTTTAATTAAAAAATGGGGGAATTAATTTTTCGACTATAAAACAATCAATCCATTAGTATTCAATCTCTATTTCACTTACAGTAAGCACTATATGGCAACTTTGGGAAAACAATTTTTTTTTCCTCCGTAATCTTAAAATATCATATGGATGCATCTCTTTGAAAAGTCCCTCAAATCACAACTACATTAGGGTGATGTTGGGTGTGTAAATTGCAGGGGAGCGAGTTGTTGTAGTGACTCATGGAGGATCAATTGAAACACTTTACAAGTGGGCCAATGCAAATGGAAGTTATGCAGGAAAAATAGACAATGCATCCATCGCTATTTTTCACTTGGATGGTGAGGATAACTGGGCCTTAAAAAAGTGGGGTGATGTTAGCCACCTGAGCCAGAATGGTAGAGCTTCTGGTTAGGGTTAGGGTATAATTTGTGTTGTTTCCCCTCTAAAGTAATAAATATTTGGAGGAAGGAGAAGGGATATAAAGTGATGTTACCACATGATTTTGGCCTCTACCATGCTAAGTTATTTATGTTTTATATCTTAGCATGTATCATCACTATTTAAGCAAGTGTAAAGATGTCAAACTTTTCTAATGTTCATCAATCTTAAATAATAATATTCTTAAAAGTTAATTTTCTTTCTCATTATATCTTTTAGTTTCTTCTTCATTAAATATTTTATTTTTCATTTCATTTTATTTTTTAATTTTCCATAACTTTTTTAGACAGATTACCTTCACCCTTCTGAGGTTTAACGAAATTTTACTTATACTTCTCTATGTTTTATCTTATACAAACATTCCTTAATTTATCTAATAACACAACATTTCATCTCTTTCGATTACACATGTCACCCTAATTTCTTAAGCAGTTATGTAAATTCTGCAAGATTAAAGTAATGTAAAGAAAAGGCAATTAGGTGGAACTCTGCTTAATCTCAAGAGATGTAAATGTAATTTATCTTTTATTTTTTAATTTAAAAATATTTATCTATTTAATTTATTAATATATTAAAATATTTATCATTAACAATTGTTATTTTTAATTATTAAATTAAAAAAATAATATAATATAATTGTTATTTTTATTTTAAATTTTTTTTAATTTAATAATATCTATAATATACATGAATAATTCACTATTTAATATAGAATTATTTCTCTTTTATACAATATTTTTTCTGTTTAATGTGATGATGAATAATATTAAGTTTGTTGTACTATAATCCAAAAAAGTTTTACATTTACATTTATTTCATAACTGTGAAGTGAAAATGTTTAACATTACATAACGTTGAGTAAAATTTAAATTCAAATTTGAAAGTTGAATTTATTCACTTATTAAAATTTTGAAAGTATACAAAAATATATAAAATTCAAAAACTAATTAGCACTCTTCATTTGATAACTTTATTTTAGAGAATATTTATGCCTTCAATAAACAAATCTCTCTCTAAATATAAGTAAATGGTATTATAATACTATTTAATTTATCTAAAATTTAATATATTAAATCATAACACATTAATTAATGGTTGAATTAATACATAATTTAACATTATTAAAAATTTAATAAGTAAGTAATTATTGTCAAAGTTATTCTTGAAGTAACTTGATCTTCACCCATATATTATACTCACACAAATAGTAGTAAGTCTTTTCTAACTTCTTTTACTTAATATCTTTGTGCAAACATTAAATTTTATTAATTCAATCATTGAAAAGTTTTTATATAATTTAAAATTTTTTTTAAATTTTTTTAAAAGAGTGGAAACTTAGATTTGAGAAGTTATTTTTTTTTAAAATTTTATGTAGTCGATTTCCATTCTCTCTCCAAAATTCTATTTTTGTACAATATTAGAGTTGATAGATATTTAACTTCGAAGAATCAAGATGTAAATTCATCAAATCTTAATAGAGTTTTTATTTTTTTTTCTCCTTATGATTTTTATTTTTTCTATTATGTGTAATTAGTTTGTGTGCAAGGAAATGATGAATCTCAGTATAAACTTCTAATTGAATTCTTATATCTTAATTTTAGTTTCTTTCTTTCTTTCTTTCTTTTTGGCTGATAGTTTCTTTCTTTTAATTAAATGTTTGCTTCTATTTTTAATATTTCTATGGATTGATTAATCTTATATTCACTATTATGATTAAAAAAATAGTTAGTGAATTTACTATTAGAATAATTCATCATATATAGTTGTTGAGAATCTAAGAAATAAAAATTTTTCTGATCTTATAAATATTTGAATTTAAAGCTTGTTTCAAGTAAAAAAAAAATCTAAGAAATTAGAAATTTTAACGTGAAAGAAATGAGCTAATTATTAAGTAATTGAAATTAGTTTATTCTAATAAATTTGATCTTTAATAAAATATTAAAACTTAAATTGAGAAGAAATTTAATTGCTTGAAGTGAAGTTTAGAAGAATTCTACCAGACTCTCTTATATTCTTGAATTTTACTGTTTTATCTTTTTTTTTTTTTTTTACTTTGTTCTTGTTATAATAACTATGTCCATCGTTATCAATTCAAAATTACGTATAAATGGTAATGGTTTTATGAGTCATTCCTTGTAATTTCACTTTATTATTTGGTACAACCTTAAGCACTTACTAACTTTTTCCTATCAAATATGTTTGTCAAATTATTAGTAAATTAGACTATAACATTACATAAGTATGAACGGTGAATTTGTCTAATATTTCATATGCATAATCTTAAAAATGATATCACATTATTCAATGGTTGTATTTATTAAATTTGTAATCTAATAGAATTGGGAGAGTGTCCAAGACTTTTTATCATGTTTATCATGGATGAGAATGAGAATAGATAATATGGGTTATGAATTATCCAAATTAAATAAAATCACATAATTATTTTTAAAAGTTACGTGACTTTTGAAAAATGTCATAACTTTTCACAACTAGGAAAAAGTGAATTAACAACTGAAGTAAAGTAGTAGGTAAAACACTAGTTGCAAATTTTATTTTAGTGACATAATATTCAATCGTTAGAATTTTAAATTAGTAACCAAATTAGTCACTAAATAATTTGGATTTGAATTCTCTGCAGTTTGGCTGGAACTGCACCCTATAGTGTGTTTTCACCTAAGTAAAAATTGTTCGTTTAAGCGAATATGAAGTGCATTTACTTAAGCACGGGCAATGGCTTAAGCGAATAGGAAGAAGGCTTGCGAAGCGAGCTACAAGAAACCAGAAATCTGTTTCGCTTAAGCACACGCTTTAGCTTAAGCCTCTCCAAGTGAAATTAAATAAACTTAAGCAAAATGGAACAGAGAGACATGTATTTGAGTCATTCTTTTTACTTCAGCGAATTACGAATCGGTCAAGCTATTGTGGATTCGCTTAAGTCGTGACAAGCGATTTTGATTAATATTAAGCAAATTTAAGGCAGAGAGCAATGGTTTCAGACATAAAAATGGCTTAAGCGAAAATGAAATGGCCTAAGCGAATGCGAGTAAGGCTTGAGCCCAAATTTAAATTTCTCAGTGAATCAAGATCCACTTAAGCGAATATATTAGAAATTGAAAAAATTATGCAGACATAGACAACATGCAGAGAGGGCCAAAGAAACTTGATTACATAAGTTTTTCAACCTTCATTCTTACACAAAAAAAGAGTTTATAATATAAGGCACCATAAAGGATAAATATTAAAATCCATCAATTAAAACTATATAATTTAGCATTGAAAAGCTAAAAATAAAATCCATTACATAATAGAAAATGTTGAATCAGTAAAATCCATTACAATAAAATCTTAATTGTAATTATGGGTCTCTTACATTCTCCTCCTCTTGCATAGATTATGGCTCATATCCCTCATTATGTCCCCCTTCTTCTTCTAAGTATTCACCTTGTTGAACATCTTCCCCTTCATTCTTATCAATGTCCTAAACGTCCTTGTTGGCTCCTTCATCTGGCTGTGACACATGATCCTATGGAGTTTCTTCTTGAGCTAGAAAGGTAGGGTTATCTACAGGCCATGATACAGCTGTTGTAAAAACCTCTTATGTGGGCCATGAGAAAGCATATGTCTCACCATGATGTTGATGTAGAATAAACTTGTTGAAAGAGAAAATCAGAGTAATGTCTTGCATAAATGATTAGATATTTTAAACTATTAAATGAGAGAAGAGCTGCCTGGTAGAAGGACTCGTTCAGCTGAGTGTAAGCGCGATTATTTGCTGCCAATTGTTGCTCTACATGCTATTCCAATGGATTGATATAATAATTTTTTATGAACTAGGAATTGATTAGTTTCTTCAAACTGATAGTTTAGTTGGTGATATTTGGGATGGTAATGCTTTGGGAGGCACATAGAGCAGTGATGAGTGCTGGAAATCCCAAAGGTTTTGTTGCTAATGCAATACTAAAGGTGTTGGAGATTACAAATTGGTGCAACTCATCTAAAATGATTGTTGATATGTCAACAGATATCTCTTGCATGATGTTGTATATGAGATATGCTCGAGGCATCCGAATATCTGAGGTGTGTGTGGTTTGAGCTATATTGGCAAAGAAAAATGATGTCCAGATTTGGGCAAAAGTATTCAAAGATTGTCTCTTGAACCTCATTGGCTTCCCAGCTGCATTTGTTTCATAGGATTTTCTAGGGATGCATAAGGCCTCAGCTACCCTATGATCCAAAGAACTTGAGAATTTCTTTCGGCATTGCTGATATTGGCACAGCTCCCTTCTTTTAAGGTTAGAAGGTTACCTGACAAGGCTGAAATTGCATCTCTGTCATAAGCTACTGGGTGCCTTCGAACCCAAGACCTTCTTTTTGACTTGTCTGGTATCAATGGCCATGCATTTGCATAAAATTATGTGATAATTACCTCATGAATTTGGTTGGAGAGATTTACCAAGAATTCACATTTTCTTCTCCTTTTCTCTTGCATAAAATCTTTATACTCTCTTTCTTCTGAAGCTACCTTCCTCTCAAGTAGCAAGTCCCTAGCCTGTAAGTCAAGAAATCTCTGAGCCTTGGCCTTGGTTTTGAACCCATATCTATCTCATGATATAATTTATGTTTGTGTTTGAGTTTCAGCTGGTGATTGTTCTTGTTGATCAATAAGTTCATTATGCTGCTGTGAAGTTTGGCCAACTTTTACCCTTTGCCTCTTTCTTTGAGGAATAGATTTATTTGGTGCCATCCTGCAACCAAAACCAGAAAATCATTTTCAGTTATACTCACTTAAGTGAGTATTTTTGCTTAAGCAAAAATTACAACATAGAACATAGAGGATAAAAGGCATTTAATCCAACGACAATGTTTTCAATCAGTTCAACATGAAAATAAAAGTTTAAAAATGCATATATTACAATTTCCTTGCTTGGAAGGTTATAACCCTATGCAAATAATACATGTCTATCAACAATCTAA